GTGAATTATTGAAACTGAGTGAAAAATAAATGTAAATGAATGAATGACAACGACTATGAATAATGAATGAATGAATGAAAGTGACGGAAAAAATGAATGACAAAGAATATCGATGAATGAATGGCAAGAATGTCAGTGAATTGAATTAATGGGATTTAATGAAAATGAATGTCAATGAACAAATGAATATAAATATGTATCAAAACAGAATGTCCATGTATGAATAAGATAGATTAAAACAATGCAGCTGAATTGATCAATGAACAATCAAGAAAACAAACATTTAAACTCTACCTGATTCACCTAGATACTTGACAGCCTCTAAGGCTTGGTGACATCTACGAAGAGATGTTCTGAAACAATCAAAAAAGTATTAACAATTATATTATACCAGTATATTGATGGAGTTAATCCATTGATTTGATTGGTCCAAACACAAAATTTGCATATGCAATCCATGGTATATTGGCTGATAATGCACGGCTAAGCCGAGTGGCCCTGGAACATGAATTGACTACAGGTATAATACGGGAATACATAAAACCGGTATTATTTGATTTTTAGGGAAATATAGTGGTTGAATTTTGGAAGAATATTGAAAAAAATACTGAATTAAAAACATCGGAAAAGTTATATAACCATAACATTGCTTTTTGTTAATGGTGGGATCCAAATTGTGAGCATCGGTCGTTGGGTGATTGTCGTTCGCCACACAAACCTAAACCACCGTCCCTCAACACCGTGAGGTGCCTAAACAAACGCCAGAACACTGTGTTCTCCGTGTTGTGACTTTGAGATGGATTGCGAACCTCCAACAAAGAAAACATGATCTTTAAGTACTAGATAAGATTGAGGGATTGAAGGACAAAAAAATGAAAAAAACTACGAGTCACAGGCAAAAATGTATGCCACCAATAACAACTGGTGTCCTGTAGCGGCGTTCGAATTCTAGCTGACAAAATTGCAGTGAAATTGCACCCGGGTAATTGCCATCTGTTTCAAAGAACACAGGACTATGCAGGATTCGACAACGATATATGGTATTGTAATTCCCCACTATGGGTAAATAAATTACAGGATATGATGAAGGTAATTTCGAAAGCTGCAGATTTGTGCCGAGTGTACACCAACCATTGCATTGAGGCGACGGCAGGCAAAGTCTTTCTTTCGGCCGCAGTTGAGACAAGGCATATCATGTACCTGTCACAAAAACGATACGAGCAACACTGGCACTGTCAACAAGTTGACCTTTTACCTCATTATGCAGCGCGCATGCCCCCACTTCTTTACTGTATCTGTTCAATGATGTCACTGCATATCATGAATAAATAATAGCAACAGATTAGCTGCAAATAAGACCAGTCTGTGGTGGTTTCGCGTTCACCCTCACTAAACTATTTTTTCCATTTTTTTTTAAAATCACCACAGCTGGGCCTGTCTAATGCAAAATATACCACTGCCAATACAGTCATTACATGCCAAAGACACCACTGCCAATATGGTCATTGCATGCCAAATATACCACTGCCAATATGGTCATTGCATGCCAAATATACCACTGCCAATATGGTCATTACATGCCAAATATACTACTGCCAATATGGTCATTGCATGCCAAATATACCACTGCCAATATGGTCATTACATGCCAAATATACCACTGCCAATATGGTCATTGCATGCCAAATATACCACTGCCAATATGGTCATTACATGCCAAATATACCACTGCCAATATGGTCATTGCATGCCAAATATACCACTGCCAATATGGTCATTACATGCCAAATATACCACTGCCGATATTGGTCATTGCATGCCAAATATACCACTGCCAATATGGTCATTACATGCCAAATACACCACTGCCAATATGGGTCATTGAATGCCAAAGACACAACTACAAATATAGTCATTGCATGCCAAAGACAACACTGCCAATATGGTCATTACATGCCAAATATACCACTGCCAATATGGTCATTGCATGCCAAATATACCATTGCCAATATGGTCATTACATTCCAAATATACCACTGCCAATATGGTCATTGCATGCCAAATATACCACTGCCAATATGGTCATTGCATACAAAATACACCACTGCCTTTATGGTCATTACATGCCAAATATACCACTGCCAATATGGTCATTGCATGCCAAATATACCATTGCCAATATGGTCATTGCATGCCAAATATACCACTGCCAATATGGGTCATTGCATGCCAAAGACACTACTACAAATATGGTCATTACATGCCAAATATACCACTGCCAATATGGGTCATTGCATGCCAAATATACCATTGCCAATATGGTCATTGCATGCCAAATATACCACTGCCAATATGGGTCATTGCATGCCAAAGACACTACTACAAATATGGTCATTACATTCCAAATATACCACTGCCAATATGGTCATTGCATGCCAAATATACCACTGCCAATATGGGTCATTGCATGCCAAAGACACTACTACAAATATGGTCATTACATGCCAAATATACCACTGCCAATATGGGTCATTACATGCCAAAGACAACACTGCCAATATGGTCATTGCATGCCAAATATACCACTGCCTTTATGGTCATTGCTTGCCAAATATACCACTGCCTTTATGGTCATTACATGCCATATTCACCACTGCCAATATGGTCATTGCATGCCAAATATACCACTGCCTTTATGGTCATTGCATGCCATATTCACCACTGCCAATATGGTCATTGCATGCCAAATATACCACTGCCTTTATGGTCATTGCATGCCATATTCACCACTGCCAATATGGTCATTGCATGCCAAATATACCACTGCCTTTATGGTCATTGCATGCCATATTCACCACTGCCAATATGGTCATTGCATGCCATATTCACCACTGCCTTTATGGTCATTGCATGTGCCATACAACACTGCTAATATGGTCATTGTGTGCAAAAGCCACCATTGAGAATAGAGAAAGGGCAAAATGGCCGCCATGTAGCAATGCACATCTAATTGTATGTATTGTCATTGAACACTGTAAATGTGCAACAATGTATAACAGTGTCCTATATCAATTTTGAATGAATTAAGCCAATATCCCTTGTTTTCAGGGTATGCACAGGAACTCTACAAATCCATAATGAACTCAAGCACACTTTATGTTCTATATATGTCACATGATGTGTGGTACATTTCATTCAGAGAATCAGCTATCACGGTATATCAGTAATATGAAAGCAGAATGATATTTTGAGAAGACAAACCTATTGAACGTGAACATAACATTATATTCCTCTCCTTTGTAAGTTTGATGAAATTCCGGATGGAATTTTAAAAGCAATTCTTCCTGGAAAACCTAATACAGAGAAATAAAATAAACACACAGGTATAAAAAGCAACCACTGAAAAGATTTTATTAAAAAAAAAGTCAAGAAATTAATCTTATCTGACAACTGTATGATCCTTTGTATTTCAGTACACATTTTGTTAAAATAAACATGGCACATATTGAATAGTGTGTACGCCTACTTGACAGACTTTTGTGATTTATTGCACATACAGATGTAGAGTGTGTGTTACATAATACAATACTCACATCATGTACAAATCCCTCATATTGTGGTGTAGCATAGTCATTATTATTTGGTACAGATAGAATAACCTTGTCACCAATTAACACTGATGGTCTACCCTCAGCTAACCCAGGCACAGTCAAGGCCAAATATTCACCATGTGGCATCATGGAAACCTTTCATGAGAAAATCAGATTTCAAAGTGATTAATCAAAGATTTCAAGAGAGTTAAGTCCCCCCCAACCATATCTAACAGCTCCCACAGTAAGACAGTTTGAAAAAATTTTGCCGCAAGTGGGCACAATTCAGAAAATAATTACCAATATACACAACCCAGAACACATTTAAAACACAAAATGAAGAACATTTCTTCATGGAATGTCTTAGGTAACAAAAAGAAAGACAAAAGTTATTTAATAATATCAATATTCCAGAAGAATAAAAAAAATAAAGTCCAGATATTTAAATATATTACGAGTTCAAGAGAAGACATAATAATAAGACAAGTTGGTGAATACATATACAAAAATATTTGAACTCAGAAATAACAATAACAATACTTTTACTTTAGTTTTATATGTATTGTACTTTATTACTAACATTTTATTGCTGTCAACCAATAGAAAATATTTTTAAGCAATAAATTTATTACAAATCACTTGTTTTGTCCAAGAGTTTTATCTATTGTTAACGCTTGATACCTATTTCTCTGATACGCAATTCTCTGTGTATAGGCATGAACACATAATTAGATGTATATATACACGCATAAAAAAGTTTTGATATTCACCATTTCTATATCAAACTGTCTGATATCAATCTCCATTTGTATTTCTTCAAGATGAAGCATTGTTGTGAAATATCCAATGTAGTTTGTCATAGACAGTGGCTAGTGAAAGATAATGTCAAAAGTTAAATCAAAAAATAGGAAACACGTAAAAAAAAAATCAAGTCAAGATCTGTGATAAAGAATATTTTCAGTGCAATCCCCACTTCTCAAAATCACAAAAGATTGTCAAAAGTGTAATCGAAGTCATACAAAGATGAAGGTTCAAAACAAATGTTGACATCAGTGGGCAGCATTACTCTAAGCTTGTATCACATTCCTGTCTCTTCACAGTTAGTTTACATAAATACAAAAAGTCTATTTTCATTTCATAATTCTATACTATGAAGTTTCATTGATAAACGAAGCAAATTAAACCCTATTAGCTCAGCTGTTAAAGGCTCTACATGATATGATTGATCAAACTCCAAGCACTGTACCTTGGGTAAAATTAAACTGTCTTAACCAAGGTGCAAAGACTTGTTCATAAAAAAAACAGTGTAGGTTGACAAAATATGCGAGATTCACAATTATATACTATTTCACATAAAATGTGAGCTAATACAGTTGTGTGATTATATACAGTTACTAATACAATCTGCAATTGAATACAATCGCAGTGGCCACAGTTTACAAAGAGACAAATTTGGGTTTACCAGAATAAATGTATAACTAAAATAATAATTATAATGGGACTTGCTCTCATCAGCCTTCCTACAAATGAATTCAATAAATTGAACAATATATTGAGAAAACAACAACTGTGAGGCACAATTACAAAAAACATTACATAAACAATACCTCTGCAAGTTCAGGTCTGATTGTTGTTATATCATTCCTCTGCAACAGACAATCTCTCAACTCTAGTGGTACAAAGTATTGTTGAAGTCGCGAAAGGCAGCATCATGGTTCTATTGCTGTCAAGTACAAATACTACTGTGAAAAATTACAATTAACAACAAATTCGCCCATGCAAGCCTGGGACCTACCGATGATTACCACATTATGATACTATTGTAGGTTTTATAATGCTGTTTTATACGATGTAATGCTGTTTTATATGATGTAATGCTGTTTTATATGATGTAATGCTGTTTTATACGATGTAATGCTGTTTTATATGATGTAATGCTGTTTTATATGATGTAATGCTGTTTTATATGATGTAATGCTGTTTTATACGATGTAATGCTGTTTTGTATGATGCAATGCTACAAGAGACATATATATAACACTGAACAATATTTTTCAATGGAAGCGCATATACTGGTAAATCAAAAATCTCCTTGACTATATACTAAATTATTGAAATATTAATTATTTTGACCAAATCTCTGTAATTTATGTAAATGCATGTGCTACTAATAATTTAAGCATTAAGTATTAGAATTTTTGTTTACAGGTAATTTTACCAAAACTTAGTATACTCTACTACTAGTAAATTATTTATTAAGCAGAAACAGACTAGTTATAGTATCATATTTTTACAACATGGATATACAATGTAGATGTGTTGTGTTCAAGCTACCATGTGATACAGTACATCAAAATAGACCAATATGGGAAACAATACTTACTTGATAGGTTTTTCACCTGGTATAATCCATTTTTCACTTTGCATTCCCATTCCCTGTGATTGTCTAAATCTCTCATATCTATTACTCTTTTGATATGGTGCTTTCACCATTAATATTTTCTGCTCAGGATCTTCTACTTCAAACTTGACATATCTTCCAATCACAAACTTACCAAAGTCAAAGACAATCAGTTGACTGTTTTCTCCAAGATTACTGATAGACAAATGAATGAATAAAAGGGTGATTAAACAACTCATTTTATTCAAAACTTTATTAATCTTAATTTTTATAGCAAACTGTATAGCCTAGCTGGTTTGACCATGGACGTACTAGAGATGGACGCTGCAAGGTGTTTACTCGCTTTGATGCATGTGCGTTGTCACCACTGGATTACTGTTAATCCAGATCGTGTCTGCATAATTTCCTGTTCACGGGAAACGACCACAAACACGCCCCATTATAGCTCGGTTCATCTTCGTTTTGTCCCGAACACCCCCAACAATTTGCTTACAATCGTCAAGAGAAAACAAAATGGCGACGAACAGGCAACAGAGAAAGTTTGGTTTCGGTTCGGATTTCGTTGATCCCGACATTTTAGAACTAGACGATAATGGTTTTGATATTGAGGACATTGAAACTGTCGACTCAGCCGTCCCCGAAAAGGACGAACAGCAGTATTGTTTCTCACGAGAGCCCACCATTAATGTGATAGCTAATGTTAAAGAAGTCCATGTTTAACATAGAATTATGGCGGCCGAACTTTTCTGAACATTTCAAGCTTTGTGCCATCTGTAAATTTCACTCGAATTGAACATCGGATAAATAACTAATGTCATTCGCTCACACCGGGTTTACTGGCAATATTAAATTAAAATTGTTAACAAATGCAGAAGATCGGTACAAACATGCTCGTAAACTTGCCTAGAATATACGGATCTGCGTTAAACCTTCGATTTACAACTGAACATTGCACCAGCTCATGGGCAAGGTCTGTATTTATTTTTTTGACCCAATATAATATAAAATTTAAGATTCGAATCTTGTCGTGAAAAATCAAAACTAAGATCGGGCGGCAACTCAGCCAAGATGAAAGTACGTCTGCCTATTCATAAATTTAAGATGAGTACAATAGAAAGACAATACGTCTTATGAGGTGTGAATCACCGTGCAGCGTCCATCTCTAGTACGTCCATGGTTTGACAAATATTTTCATTAACTAGCAATATTTAACATGTATTTAACAAACAAACAAACAAACAAACAAGCAAGCAAACAAAAATGAAATGCAAATGAATAAAACGTGAAATTAAGATTGGAAACTTACAATATTATTATAGTTCATGCACATTGCTATTAATAAGCATGACCTGAAAATTTACATAACATGGTGTGAATAGGTGGTAGAGAGCTAGCATAGTGCACAGTGACTACTAGGACGGTTAAGAAGCGCTATTGTTAAAAGGTGTGAACGAGCAGCTTGAGAACCTAAGCTGGTCTCAAAACTATGACGTAATTGTCATCGGAGGGCGCTATTTTTCTCCATTATTCATTGCGTTCGATGTTGCTCGAGACGACTGAATTTTTGAAATTGTGCTTTATTTTTACATCAAACTACAATCTCAACTGAACTATGACTAGGAGTGATATTGTATTTTACAGATGAGCGTTCTTATGCAATCTTGAAGATGCTTTACTCGAGAAAACGGTGTTTTGTTGACAGTCTCTGTCTTGATCTCTAACAGTCTTTCGGTCCATAAAATAAACCCCTCGCTCAGTTTAGAAACAATTTTAACGCTAAAAACATTGATGTCTGCAAACCTGTACAATATTCTTTTGTCCATTCTTGCTATTTTTGTGTGTTTTTATAGTCGCTTTATTGGGAAATTTTGCATGTTTTCGTCTATGGAGGTGGTCGCCATGTTGCTTTACTGCATGGTTTTCAATGGAAGTAATCGTATGAAAGAGATTTTTGATTGTTGTGTTTTCATATCCCTCCATTCGCTTTATTTGACGACTGATACAAATCCCGTTCAGCTGTCTCGGTGCTACGAGTCATATTTTAGTTTCGTTTGAATATTTTTTTGTTATGACTTTGCTTTGTGACAATTTTATGAACGGTTTATTTCAGCATGTTTGCACTGCTTTTTGATTCAGTCGAGACAGGGGCGAGACAGGGTAAAATACCAGATGTTAATTTTTGTGTGGGAATTTTTTGGGAGATTTACTAATGTAGTATTCTATTAACTATTAATAATTTCAGAATGCCATACAAGACAGCAAGATTTTCCCGGGGAAAAACGTGTATATACAAAGCATGTTTATTTCCGCGTTTGAGACTGCTCTTCGGTGAAAGGGTATTGCAATGCTTTGTGGGAAAAAATGACGCAACTCTCGCAATGTCTCATGATTTATCGCGTGTTTTCCGTCGCCAGTTTTATGCTAATGTCTTCTTAGCTCGTTAACAACTCTTTTGTTTCAAGGTTTATGGAGACAAGGGTAGTTACAATAGAACGACGTGGCGCTTCCTAACCGTCTTAGTAGAGTGACTGCAGAGTGTAAAGCACTTTTATTTTCCCTTGGAATTTTGCTATTGTCTCGAAATGAAAATATTTTTTTTTCTGTAATTTACTTTCAACTGATCAAAAATCAGTGAAAATATAAACTCCATACAAAACATCAAGCATGTTTTTTCAGCAAAAATTAATTTCAGCTGAAATAGAGTGTATTACAGTATTCTAATTTAACTGTCAGTCTAGCTTACAAGGTTTGTGAATGTTCCTTTTCCAATGTCAAGTCTATCTATATACAATCATTCAAGCACATCGCAAAATGTGAGTGTAAATTAATAATAGCAAAATAGATGATAGTAATCTTGAAGTCAAAAGACATACATATTGAGTGAATAGTAAGTTATTGCATGACTAAAAATATAAGTAATTATCAAGTTTCAGAAATGCAGTCACACACGTCGAAGATATAGCTTTGGAACAGAATTTGTTGAAAATAAATGGCCATCTGTCGGTCATCTCATCTAAAAAACGATATGATATCAAGGTCCCACAATGTCCAATGTATGTACAAAGTGTGAACAAAATTCATCCATACTCAACCAAGATCTGATTGCATGCAGAATGGAAACGTTTTTTGATTTTATAAATTGTTATCATTTAAATGACCACTATCATGAATCTGATTGTTAAAACCAAATGGACGGGCATTATGTATCCTAAAATATATTATTATGATGTATGTGTGAAGTTTTAATGCGATCTGTCTTGACATGTCTTGGATACAGGTATAGAAACATACACACAGATGCACAAACAGATGCATGCACATAGAGCAATCCATAAGTCCCTGTTTCCGGGTCTGTAAGCGAGTCTAGATAATCAAAATAAAAGTTACCTAGCTTTACAGATGATCTTCACATAGATCGGTGTCTGAGGGTATATATTAGTGTTTAGGTTCCTGTATCGCTGGCTTCTACTCTCCTTTGATGGAATTTCAAAAACTAGCTGTCTATCTTTACTGCACACGCTACATCCACTTAAAATATGTGTGGTCAGACCATGATTTCTGCAACATGAAAACAAATATTGCAGTTACACAAAAGAAATTAGTTATAATACAAGTTGTGGAACTGCTCATGGTCAGACCAAGCAGATCAATCTACATGTATTTATCTCAGGCCAAGATTTCATTAATTACTATAATTATACCAAATGTACATAACCACACATTGACTACAGGTCTAATAATTTGGGCTAATCTGCACTGGCTCGGAAGGTTGTAAATGATTAGCTAGTTTGAATTTCTAATTTGCATAACATTACTGAGAATGAACGTGCATTCAACGCCACAAGTTTTTTGTTTTTTTAGCCAATCAGAATTCATCTTCCGAGCCAGTGCAGATCAGCAGAATAATTTTGAGGAAAAAATGACTTTGGCATGAAAGCTTGAGAGTAACAATATACCGGTACCAATAGTGGAATATACCAGGACAATATCTGTCTATAGGTACATTGTATATACGTGCCAATCTTGAAGCAAATCAATCAATATAAGCCTAAAATACTTCCAGAAATGCTTCATTTTGGAACATTTTTAATAAAATGTGCTAGCTGAATTTTTACCAAATGAAATTGACGTTACAAGGACATGGTCACTCAAGTGTACGCACTGATGGTCCATTGAAACGCATTTTTTTTGGGACTGATGCGTTTGATGTATGCAACTTATATTAAGGTAGAGATGCAGGTTCGTGGGCACTTTGGAGTGAATTTTTTTTTTTTTGCTTTTTATTATCCAAACAGTCTTGGCTATAGACTGTTAAAATTTTGTAGAATTGTGAATAGTGGAACATACTCAAACGACGATTTTAAAATATAGATAACAGGTGCAAATATTCTCTCTTTTGAATGCTTAGCAAGATTTAGCAAGGCTGTACATAAATAATAAAAAAAGAAACATGGTGAAAAAAAGAAATGACGGGATCTCCATATTATGCACTATATTTAACTTTTAACAAAACGATAATACATTTAAATTTGGAACTGTTAAAGCCATTTTAATTACGAGCATTAGCAAACTTCTTACTGAGTGAATTGTTACGCAAATTAGCAATTATCTTTTTTAGTGCACATCCCAAAAAATAGCTCCTAGACGCTTTGACCTTTTGTTTTGAAATTTTCACAAATGATTGACAATGTGTTTATCTTCAAAACGCCGTCGGAACATTGTTTTTGGTTGAACAGTGTTACAGCAAGCGTACAGACAACTAGCCTGGGTGTTAATTCATGCATAAACGTGAAGTAGTGAAATTTGAGCTGCTGCCCTGCAAAATTGACAACTGGTAGACAGTTTTCAAGACGGCACTTTCTTCATAGTAAACAGATGTACCCATGAACCAATTTTGACAGGAAACAGAAGCATGGTTTAACAGCTAAATCACTTTTGACCAAAAAAAGCACATTTTTGTGCATATTTCAAACTACAGTGTTCATAAAAAAATACTAACAAAATTTTAAAATTCATACAATAAGCTTTCCGAAAATATATAGTTTTGTGGACAAGGGAGGTCATCTTGGTTTCGTAATTAACTAATTAAAACACCTGTCAGGTAAACTGCATCTCTACCTTAACCTAGCGGAATCATGGAACATGCGGTCATTTGACCCTACAGTAAAATCTGATCTTGTGTTCAACAACTCATCAAATATGTAAAATATTTCTAACTGTGTAGCTTGAATTATCACTATGCATGTTAACAACCACAGCATGTTTCAATGTTGTTTTTACAACTGATTATAACAACTGGTTGACAACTATTATTTGGTGTGCTAGCTGGGGATCTGCAGTTGAGTACAAGTAAATATCAAATTCGAATCACAATTACATCCCTCCCCAAATGATATTGTGTCATAAATTTTGCAACTTGTCACTATACCAAAATCACTTAATAGGATATTGCAGGAATCGTCATGTAATAACATCTAAATATTTATTAATTAAGTTTGAATGTAAAGAGGTGAAAAGTTACTACATAATAATATACACTTGCAGCTTGAAAGCTAAAATAACATGTCTTACCTTATCCATACAGTTACACACTTTTCTTGCCCCTCTATCAGCTTTCCTAGTGATAGGTTTTCAGTGACTGACACATCATATTTGTTACTAAATAAATCATTTTTATATAATTTATGAGGTGATTGATTCTTGTAAACATCCCTGCAACTCAACAGAAATAAAGCCAATCTACCTTATACAACGATATAAATGAATGGCTCTGAATTACCCAACTCATTTCCCGCATTAATAAGAGCATTCTTGGACTAATTTTACCTGTTGTTTTCTGACTTCTTTTTTGGGTTCACATACACTGCTCTCCAACTTGCATTATTCTGTTTACTTTCAATTGCTTGTCCTTCAACGATGTCTCCTTTGCGTGGATAAAAGTGTCGTGGACATGCACTAACAGAAAAGTATATATCTCCTTCAATGATGCCAGAGTTATGATATAGACTTGTAATCTCTCCTTCAAAGCTTTTCTCTCGTAGAGGTTTGACTGATACAGCAGAAACTTTCAGTGTGGCTTCATCTGTGTTGGTTTCACACTGTACCCAATCCATTGGGCATGCATGGTAACCTGGCATCAGGGCATCAAACGTGAAGGTCACTGTGTCGTTGATGATACCCGTATTTTTAAAAGTCTTGGTGATCAATCCAATAACTGTAGAAGCAACAGGCTCTAATGATGTTTTCCGCTCAGTGCAGTCCCAATCAGACGACGGCATGATGCTGCAAGCTTTCCAGCCTCCTGCACTATGATCACGAATAGCAGTGACGTGTACATTGGTGCCTACCTGCGGTCGACAGCCTCCAATAATTGTATCATAGCCAAAGTAAACTGCATTATCAACTAAGCCATACCCACTATGTAGATGAGTAACTTTCCCGGTAAAATACGTCTTAGTCTCGTCACTACTAGACAGATCATCCATCTTCACATTTTTCAACGGGGAAGAACCAACAGACATATTTTCTTCTTTCTTACCAGTTCCCGCATAATATACTGGCCAAACTGTTTCAAAATCATTTCTGACTTCTGTTTCAACGTCACCTTGATCTTGCTCTCGACAAAACTCGTTTTTAGTTAAAAACCCAACCAGTTTGTTCACTGCACTAAACATGATATCAGACTTGACTGCCTTAACCATATATTGACTGACTGACCTTAGGTAGCCTATAGGATGAATGAAAACAATTTAAGTAAGAATTTATCACAGTACCGGTACTGTATAATGATCTGACAATAATTTCACTTGAGTACAATAGTACGGTTGGGAATAGCCTATGACCTAGAGTGGCCGAGAGAAGAAGACATACATAGATAAAGACAAAATGCAGTTCTTACGTGAAAGCAAGTATTATGAAAATGAGAGGACTGTAATGTTGCAAGACACAAATTTAATACATTAATACAAGCAATAACAGCCAAAAAATAATAAAACCAGCAAGCTACATCTATAACTGTTTCAGTGCCAGAGAAAATCATTATAAAAAACTACCAGCTGCCCCTAAATAAACTATTTTTTTTTTCTATTTTTCTATTTTAGCACTTCCAGTTTTGCTTCTTCCCCAGTTCTTCATCTTTATTGTTATTTTCTTTTTTATGATTCAATATCTAAATAAAGATATGATTATGCTATAAAGATTATTAATATTATTATTACATAGCTCTGCATATACTGTAAACCAACCTGATTTCCACTAGAAATATTTATTGAAAAACAACTAATATTATTATACATCTGTCACCGTAACGTCATAAGTTACAGCGTGCCATAAGCGTCCTTTAATAATAAAAACAAACATGGCTGCCACCAGGGTTTGACCGAACTCCAGACAAAGTAGTTCGCTGATTTTGTTTTAAACAATTTGGATTTCTGCATTCCCATGATGTATCGTTGGAAGGAAAAGATGTATAATAATAAGGTTAAATATTATGAGGATACCTCAAAGTATGCATTCAGACAGTTCGCCATTGCATCGACCTCCGCTGCACGCCGGTCGATACTATCAGTGTACTGTCTTTGTGTATACTTTGAGGTATCCCCATAATAACCTCATATTCATAACTCCCTTTAAGAGATATTATGCTAATGAACAGATAAACACCAAATGTAGTACAATATAGTGGAATTATAATCACGACTAACAGACACCAAACAGGTTTATATTCTAAAATCTATTACAACTTTTTCAAGTGCACAGACAGGAAAGATAAATAACAATTTGGAGAAACTGGAAAACAGAAATAACTAATGACAATAAAAATACAAAATATTCAGCCAGCAAGAATGATAAGAACAAACATACCGGTACATTTCAAATATGATATTGAACTAGAAAAATATTTCACTAAACTTAGAAATTATTGAAGTATGAGAACAATTAAATTGATTTTGATTGAAAATTTATTATGAAAATGGACATAATAAATTCATTAAACTTTTCTACAAGACAGCAGATTTCAACTCATGATATACTACCATTGTTCAAAACTAAAGTATACCAGACAGGGACCAAAGCTTAGAACTTTGCAATAGGGGCAACAAGTTTTAGAATAGACTCCTTATCAGTCTGTTGATTGTATGATGATAAATACTGTTCAAAAAGACAAACTTTTTACATAGTGACTGTATATTTCTCTAGGTCTTAAAAAACTGTATACAGCGACTATCATTCCCCAAAACGATTATTGGCTTTTATTTTAAGTTCAAACACTGTAAAATTGTTATCCTTATTTTGTTACTGTTACGTAATTGGCGACCTTAATACTGATCTCTCCGAAGACAGTTTAGTGTCCGATAAATATAACTCATTGTTATAGACCATGTGATATAGCGCCAGGGTCAAGGCCCAGGTCAACTAAAAGTTAATTGAAGCAACTCATGTGTGCGACAACTTTCGATACTGATGAACACGACACAATAGATTAGCTAGTTTGTCAAGCTGCAGTTGGTTAATTATAAAATGACATGGAAGTGGCAAATATCGGCAAATACTTGCATATTTAGCAATATCAATAGTAAGAATTCCCAAACCTACCTACCAGACACTCACTCACTTGACTCGTGTTGTAAAATGTCTAATAGCCAGTGCAGCGCCCTCGCAGTCAGATTTATCATTTTTTTAAACATTTTTAATTGACATTGCGAAAACACATAACAACACATCGAATGAAACAATTGTTTTCCAAATTTATGTGCTTATAACCCGGGCGTATTACGCCCGGTTATACCCGGATCAGTATACCAACCTGATGTGTTTTTATTTTCGCGAACGAGGCTGAGACTGGCCCTTTCTCGTGACGTCATTTCTAAAATGGCTGACTCTGTTTCAGGAGTTATTTCTAATTCATAAACATCGCAATTTCCTGAAGTTGTTGACCAGATTTTGTAGTTTTTCTGAATGACCTATCGTATGTGTACATGTACATGCCTTTGCTCTCCAATTACTGGACCAAGATCTTCACAGTGGTAAGAAACTGTGTTTTGTAGTAAGTTCGTCATTGTTGTTGTACTTTCGATGTTCGACGGCCTTTTTGTTTTGAAACCGGGGCACTCAAAACTTTACTCGAATTCAGGACATTTTTGGCTAATTTCCAACCGTTTCGAGAAATTATGATTAGGCGAGCTCTTCTGTCGATTTAGCTTGCATTAAAAATACACAACTTTGTTCTTGAATACGTAGAATCATAAACGTAGCAATTGTTACGTGCGTTATTTAAATCGAAATGCGGAAATTCTTTTTTACGTTGTCTGTGGCGATATTTGCGACCTTTTATGACGTCAGAATAAGACGCGCTTGTGTAATTGACCACGGGTCAAGTCATCTCGTGACTATAAGTGGTGTTATTATTTTCCATATTTAAATACACATTTAAATAGTGCTTCGGATTCATCTCTGAATGCAACAATACATACATCGATACAATGTTCTATCAATACATTTTCATGAAAGTCTTTGGAATTGCTGACACTTTGTGAATAAATTTCGGATACAAGGTCATATGTGAAACAAAAACTTGGTCATAAGCCAAACTTCATTACATAGATGATGGAGTTATTTATTACACAGGACTCTATGCGCAAAAAGAAAAACATGACCCATTCATTGAGAAAATTCTTTCATATTATTTTTCTTTCACTAAATTTATTTCATTCATGGGTTTTCTGTCACTTTTTGGCGACTTCTGTGCTGAACATTGAATGGTTTATAACAATTTCTATTCCTAAGTTTTTCTTTGAAACTCCATAACAACTTACTCATTAGCTGTGGGTCCTTAGCTCTTCTTGTTGGTCTTTAGTCTTTGTGATAGACTTCCAAAATCTTGAGCCAGTGAGCATTTAATAAACATACATGTTCGACTGGAAATAAGTTTCTGTTACGTACTATATGTAAATTGTTTACTTTTATCAACTATTTGCTATGCCATTTGGCTTTGTATGTTTGTGTTACAAAAGTTTATGGGACAAACCATAGCTCTTCTATGTTGATATACAATTTAATGACACAAAATGTATCAGAAATAACTGCAGACCGACACAAGAAGAGCTATAGACCCACAGCTACTTACTCGTGTTTTTTTTGTAACAACAGATTTCATTTGATTTGTTCAATTGTAAATTTGATTGTGTACAAGTAAGCACCGATCATGTCTGTGGATATGAATAGCCAAAGCTCAGATGACAGCGATTATGATGATGACGATGACAATGAAGGGGATATGTATGATTACTATGACAATGATGATCATGAAGATGGTGACAAGCCAGAGAATAAATACGATGATCCAGAGTACTTTGAGCAAGAGTCTCTCTCTGTTGAGCAAGTTAATGCATTTCTTGATGAGGAAGTTGACAAAGCTAGCAAAACTCTGAAGGTAGATAACATAACAAAATGTTCTCTCATACTGACGAAACAGTTGAGGCAGGCACTGGCAATGTCAAAGGTCATATTTCCATGTATAGCTATTGTCAAGCAGTGTCACACTCAAACTATTGTCTATCGCCTCATAATGAGTCATTATTCTTCACTTAGACAAATTTGACTCTGCATGGTCTCCGAGGGTAATAAATCCTGGATTTGATTCAGCATTTATTCCAGCAATGTGATTTAGATAATATCGTGAACGTGAAAATAAGTCTATTGTTGATGGGAGTAGGGCTAGATAAAAGTGCTGTGTGCAGAATATTTTTTTTCTCTAGCATGGCGAGTAATATAAATTACCTTATGGCTAATTTACTTATGAATGCCATGGTTGTAATAGATGCAACTTTCCAGGCATGATTAATTAAAGAACTGATTAATTGACTTGTGTCAGATTGTCAGATCACTTACATGTAACTTGGTATGGGTTATGCCAATTTACATCAGAGTTTTCTTGAAGCCCTATTTCTAGGGCGAAACGTTGGAATAAATATCACAAAACTGACCAGGTGTATTGTCGTGACAATCCTTGTGTTATTTGCATATTATCTTACCTACAATACTAGCTACTGGGGATCGTCTGATCTATTATTGTTGATTATTTTAACTTGCTCTATATATTGCTATGACTGATTGTTCTTAAATTACATGTACAGGTGTCTCCAACCATTGCAAAGGTGCTTTTAAAAGTGCATAACTGGGTACCTTCGGAGCTATTACAAAGGTATATATAATGTGAAATGTATTACATTAATGGCTAATTATGATAAGGTTAACAAAACACACATACGAATAGTTGCAGTTGGGCATGGCTAATACAGAAATTTCCTGAAACTTGGGTATATGAAAAGAAGAAGAAAAAAAATTAGGGTACAACTACCTGAATTTTTTTTTAGTTACAAATTTCATTTGAGGAATTTGCCATCAGAGTAGGAGGTAACACTATGAGAAAAACACAAAGTCGGTGAAAATATGTTCGCATACACTTTTCCTACTGTTAAACTGCTTTAATTTTGCTGCTAATAATTTTCCCAATTTGATGATTTTATTTGCATTTGTGGAGACAAAATGTTGTGCAAGTTGCTGACACTCCATGTCACGGGTCTAAGAGACTTTTTCACTGCAACAAAATGTTATGATTTTCACTGACTCTGCAAATTCGTAAAAATCTTTTGCGAAATTTAACCAATTTACAGTATTTGCTGTTTGTAATTCATTTATTGGAAGTTGGTATGGTTGACTGCACATATTCTCTAAAACAGCTGCAAAATAAAAATAAATAAATATCCTGGTGGCTGTTTCCACATTGTATGCAGTGTTTTGAAATGTACATTTATGTCCATACAAAATGTCATTCTTTTTGGCTAGACCTTGCTCTGACAAACAATAAATTCAACTGGCAGTGTATGATCAGTATGTCAACAACTGTGTTTTATATTTTATTTAGAAATGCTGAAGATAAAACTAATCTGTTGGTAGAAACCCATATTATACCTCCTCCTTGTTCTAAGAAAGCTAAGGTGAGTAGAGCTGTGTCCAATTCTCACTGTATCCCTTCATGGTATGTGACATCATTTAGTATTGTAACCCAATCAAAGCATTGTTCACCTGTACTTTGATTTTTACTTTGCAAAGTATAACAATTTAGGGGAGAGTAAGAAATCAAACGGGCGATGCACCGCGGTCATTACCGAGGTGGTGGTGGGTGCTCGCCAGTCAACCGCATTTTATGCAAATTTATGCATAGATTCCATGACGCCGACTGGCCGCGGTCGTCTGCGATTGGCTCGCACAGCAATTCACACTTATTGTTAAGACCATTAAAAGTTTGGAAACTAGTCTATAATAGTTGACATTATTTTATTTGCCTGAGCCTTAGAATAAAATCACAAAACGATCCAGAAAGACGTAGAGATCAACATAATATAAAATATAATCACATTCTTTTGTGAATATATATCATGCATGGTCTCGGAAAATGTTTAGAAAGATTAATTTTTTGCTAGACCAAATATAATCACGCATAAGTATAAATTCAAAGTGTTTAATACATTGGTGAGAGGTCGCATTTTACGTGAACAAGAACATGCACAAAGAAGGAAAAGCAAGCCAAAGTCGAAACGAGGTGTAGTATGGACAACATGCGCTGCGACAATTCAGTGATCGTCAACATCATTTTGGGGCACAATTGAACTTCAAGTACTTTGCGAAACTTGCTACATGGCGATGCTGACATCAAGTGTGTGTTGACCAAAGTTTGACCCCAAGTCATACACTGAACTGGCGCGTTACCTTAGCAACCTTTTTCTTTCTTGGTTCGTGCGTCGATCTAGTAAAATTGTTATTACCGTAAAATCTGTATTAGAAGCCGCATTCCTAATAGAAGTCGCACCTATTTTTTTTGAATAATTGAGAACCAAAAATTCATCATTTCTCATATGTGTAGATGCTCTATTAGAAGCCGCATCCCCCCTGTTGCATTGTACCATTTTAATAGAAGCCGCGGTTTCTAATACAGATTTTACAGTATATCCGGCGGTACTGTATTAACACAACTTGTATCCAACTCTGTATTGGCTTTGAATATTTCAACATCGTTTACTTAGTGTGCTGCTTTTCTAATAACGCAAATATGTTTACAGTATTGCACGGGCTCTAAATATTTAAACTTAATGTATTGCTTTTATAATAATTACGCAAACTAAGTTATTTTTATTATTTTTGGGACACTAACCCGGGCTATTGGGTCTGTGAATATTTCAATATTACCGACTTGATAATGCGTTGCATTCGTAATTATTACGCAAATAAAAACATGGCCGCATTTAAATCATTGAAAAAGATAGTCAGGTCCCGGAGTCAGGTGTCTAACGAAAGTCGAGAAAATATTTTAAATACTTCTGATTCATCGGTGAATTATTTTATTCAAAATAAAGTGAATATGTAATATTAACCATACAATAACATACAATATCATGTGTAATGTTAAATTTTTTTATAATAAACTCGCAACGCACTTCGATCGCATTATTTGCGTACATTTCGATTGAACTCTAATAACCACGTGTTTGAATTACGTGCGACAATAGGCAATGACCTCAATGAGTTCACGCACTGACATTTAAATTCGGGCCACCCAGTTTGACGCAAAACGATATAGTTACTTAACATTTGTTCAAAAAATCTGTAAACTCTCACAAATACCATGAACGCGAAGAGTTAACTGAAAGGCAACGTCGTTTTAGACAAAAAAAAACGCGTCAATATGCGTGCAAGGTTAGATTTATAGAACGAACATGACCACTTAACTCTGTTTTTTTTTTAATAATCATGTCGCACAGGAAACACAGGAGACATTTTAGTTCATCCATTTCTTGTTTACTGATCTTGAACTTTTTGTCTGGAATGCGATACAGGCAAAGAATAAACATTAATGATACCCACCGTTGTAAAATCAACAAAAGGCTCGAATCAGGAAGGCTCGGCTATTTAAAACTTGGTAAATAACATTCTTTTCAAGTGGTAGACTTTATTCAAGTGAAATGTATGGACGAGTCATAATACTCGTAACTTCGAAAGTTACGACTTTTACTCCTGGAATTGGTGATAAATACATGCATAAAATACAACATATACCATTGTTTCACGCAACAACAGTTCGTATATATAAAATACGTGGGCCGATAATATTACCATATGCTTAGTATTTCCATGCCAGCGATGCTCGTAACCTGCTCGATTTAAAAACAGCTATTTAAAACAAAGACTCGTGGAATCACAAAGGAAACTGTTAAGTACGTATTTCACACCTTTCCTAAGACCGCGGTTGCAACCGGTACTTAGTGGCCACCGCGGTAGAGACCCCTAATTATAAGCAGTCCGCGGCTCTCTCCAGTGTACCGCGGAGAGCTGCGGTAATTACCGCGATGAACCGCCCGTTTGATTTCCTACTCTTCCCTTACCCTTTTTTGCCTTTTTGTGAATAAAACTTAGCAGTTGTAACTTACTATTTAAACTTATTATTTGTGATACATGTACCTACAGTGTTCTCACCACATTCTGTTTTTGTGGGGCCATAAAGGCACATCGTTTGAAAAAAGCAGGGCCATAAATTATAAAATAGGGCCGGGGGTAAATTGGTTTAGGGAAATGTCCACCTACCTGTCAAAGGATGAAAATTTCCATGGTGTAACCATTAATGGGTAAATAAAATTGAATCAAGGTAAAATTGCAGCCCTTATTGAGTTAACATTTATAAATAATCATAAAGTCATCACACACATTAGTTTAACACATGCCGGGGTTTTCAGTTCATCGCTAATAGTTAAATACTTTGAGCATCATGTACCGAATCAGGATTTCGTCAAATTCCAAAATTCAATAAAGTTCTCTGACGTTTTGGCTTGCTCACGGCGCCCATTCCATGGGGCTTGAAATGAGTTGCATATATTGCAAGACGTTACTCAATTGTGGGACCCCTCTAGGGAATAAATTACTACGTTGATAGCGCCACCATACGGTCAAAATGGGAAAGTCGTTTGGACGCAGTTTTTTTTTCTGCGCCAAATGTGGCTCGATTTAATTGAAATTTTGCGCCAAATTTTGAAATATTGCACAAATGGCGCAAGGGCGCAGTCTGGTGAGATCACTGTACCTACTTCAGAATGCAGAATATATACACTGATTTAGCGAATCATATAAGTTTTAGGAAGACACTGGAAATGTAAACGTAATAAGGATATTGGGCATATTTATATTTGTCAAAAAATGGACTTGTATATGTGATAAAACCAAGCTCGTTATTGAGTTTAATCTCCTGAATTATTATGGTTAATTATTATTGACCACCGACTAGTACAATGTAGGACATGTTTCATAATGATCAAGCATAAAAGAAAATATGAATGTAATTATGTTTATGTGCATTTCTATAAAAGATGTGCTTATAACTGAGCAAATACAGTAATAATGTTTGCGTTACATCTCTCATTTTACTGTACAGTTGACTGGCCCTCCAAGTAATGGTATGTGTCCTGTATGTCTTCAGAAGACAAGTGTAGATAAATTAAATGCCTTGGCATGCAAGCATTATTTCTGTAAAGATTGTTGGACTATGCATTTCTGTGTTCTTATTGAAGATGGTGTGTCAACAGGTAGGTCTATGTCAACATCACAGATAATTATATACCAGGGGTTTAAGTAATCCCACAATATTTTCTCTCAGGTTGATGTCAGCAGGCACAAGCATGGCAAATCAATCTGGGCTGCAGAAAAAAAAAATGTTCAATGGAATCACAGCAAGCTAATCTATAGCTGAGATAAGACTTGATTTGTATCTTTGCTTGGTATCTTTTTGTATTTTTCGCATTTTTCGTATTTTTTCATATTGTGTGTTGACAGTGGAACT